AAAAAAAAAAAAAGAAACGAACAAAAAAAAACCAACCACAACAAAAAAAACCTTTCACGTTCCTTCTCCACTAGCTATTTAATAAAATCACTTTAAGAAGCAAGCTGGAATGGTTCAGTTCAATTCCTACCAGCCCCCACTAGGAAGAGCACTGATCTCAAAGGACGAAGGCAAATGGTGAAGAGACAGATACTACGGGGCTCTCACAGTCCCTGCTTGGATAATAAACCCTGAATCAGTGAAATCTGACTACCGCACTACGTTCTCTTGCTACATGTGACGTGCCGGTTGTAAAACGGACTTACCTGTAATCGTGTAGGGATAATAGTTCCAAGCCTTTTCTGTAACGTAAAATATTTTGGGAACAACAGCTCTAGCCCAGCTGGGCAGTTTGCTAAGAGGAAAAAAAAAAAAAGACAATTAGAAAGAGTCTGTCCAGAATCTCACGTGCTCCCACACCTTTCTGGATAAACTGCCAGAGAAAGTGGAGACATGCCTAGACAGCCCTTCTCTCCACGGGTCATCTCTTCCCCATCCCTCTGGTTTTCACCATAGTTCACCATTTTCTGTGCATATTCATCTGCTCTTTTTTTTTAATGTTTATTTCTTATCTTTGAGAGAGCGAGACCGCGCGCACAAGCGGGGGAGGGGCAGAGAGAAGGGTGACAGAGGATCCAAAGCAGGATCTACACTGACAGCAGAGAGCCCCACGCAGGGCTTGAACTCACGAACCACGGGATCAGGACCTGAGCCAAAGTCAGATGCACAACCGACTGAGCCACCCAGGGGCCCCTTCATATGCTCTTAAAATGTGGGGAGGCAGATGGCAGCCTGGGTGTGGGGATGGGGAACCTCATACGATTGTTAGCCTGTCCTCTTTGACCTGATCTACAAGGACATGAGGTTTCAGTGCCTGGAAGGTGTGCCGTTGGGAGGGTTTGGCCAGCCTGGCCTTGGTCTCCTAGGAGTCATATGGCGGAAGTGGTCGGATAGGATGTTTAAGACCGAATAGGGAGGGAGACGGAGGCAAATGTCAGGGCCGGGTGTCAGCTCAACAATCCACAGGGGCGATGTTTTAAAAACGAACTAAAACGACAGACAGTAATGATTTTAGAGATATGAAGAGTAACAAAACATAGCCCCTTGGTGACTGGAGTTGGGGGACTTGTGTCCCCTCCAAAGATGTAGCCACGTCCTAACAGCCAGCACCTGTGAACTTAACCTTATGTGAAAGCAGGCCTTTTGTAGGTAATTAAGGATCCCAAGATGGAATCCCGTTGGATCTAGGCTAGGCTCTCACTCCAGGCACTAGTGTCCTCGTAAGAGAAAGGAGAGGGAGATTTAGAGACAGGTATACACAGAGGGGGAGAAGCCAGGTGAAGACAGAAGCTGGAGACAGGAGTGACGTAGCCACGAGCCATGGACTGCCTCAGACACCAGAAGCTGGAAGCGAGGCACAGAACAGCCTCTCCCGCGGAGCCTCCAGGGGCAATCAGCACTGCCCACACCTTGATTTCAGACTTCTGGCCTCCAGAATCGAGACAGGACAAATCTGTGTTGTTTGAAGCCACCCCGTGTGTGGGGATCTGTTAAGGCAGCCACTGGAAAGGATACAGTGATGGAGCCTTTCCCTGGAGCAGGAACCCGCGCAGCCATTAGCAGAAAACAAATTCTTAAAACAAAGAAAACCCAGGGGCACAGGTCTCAAGACCTTTTGTACACCAAAGACTCATTGAGTTTTGTTTAGTTTTATTTGGCTTTGTTTTCCTTCAGGGGCCAACTCTACAGCAGTACAGGCCCAGAGAATTCTGTAAATGCTATATTTAAATATATAGTACCCTGTATTCCTTAAATATGTCTGCATGATTTTATTCTACCTCCCTGCCCCTGCCCCCAGCACTATACCTGGGGGCTTTGTGTCTTTCCGGATGCTACCATTTTGTTTTAGTTTTTTTTTTTTTAAGTTTATTTATTTATGTATTTATTTTGGAAGGGAAGGGCAGA